TTATTTACCTCGAATCAAAGGAAAAAAATAAAATCATGTTTTGTAACAAATCAAATCAAAACTACAGAGCCAATTATAGGTTTTAAAAACCACAGCCTCCAATGTTACAGATGTGCTGCTGGGTGTGGAAACAAAATAGTGAGAAAGTCAATGTGTTGCTGCTTTAATAAGGCCTACTGACTGGCAAGCTAGGTGAACATGAGTTAAGTAAATACACAAATGAGATAAGGATGTTCACACTTCTAAGAGACAAACTTGACTCCAAGGAAGAAGGGCAAGAATGTGACATCTGAATTAAACTCTGAAGTAACACTGAAGGTTAACAAATTGAGAAGGGAGGAGAGCGGAGGGGAGGAGTATTCCTATGGGAAAATGAATAATGGCCCTCTAAGATGTCCACATCCTAATCCTGGAATCTGTGAATGCATTACCTTGCATGGCAAAAGGGACTTTGCAGGTGCATTAAGTTAAAATTTTGAAATAAGAAAATAGCCTGGTAATCCCAAGGGTTCTTATAAAAGGCCAGGAGTTCAAGACCAGCCTGGGCAACACAGTGAGACTCCATCTCTACAAAAGATTTTAAAAAATAGTAAAATTAGCTGGGTGTAGTGGTGCATGCCTACAGTCCCAGCTACTTAGGAGGCTGAAGTAGGAGGGCTGCTTGAGTCTGGATGGTAAGAGCTGCAGTGAGCTGTGATAATGCCACTACACTTCAGCCTGGGCAACGGAGTAAGACACTGTCTCAAAAGAAAAATAGAGGCAGGAGGGTCAGGGTCAGATATGATGTAACAGGGATAGTAGGGATTGTCAAGAAAAGGGCTACATAGAGCCAAGGGACACAGTGGCCTCTAGAAGCTGGAAAAGGCTGAGAAGCAAATTGTCCCTCAGAGCCTCCAGAAGGAATGCCCCCTTGCCAAAACCTTGATTTTAGAACTTCTGAACCCCAGATTAATAAGATAATAAATTCGTGTTGTTTTAAGACATTAAGTTGCTCTATTTTGTTATAGCAGCAAAAGGATGCTGATACAATTCTGAAGAGAGTAAGTAGCATGTACTACCAGTTTAGAGACTTTTGTGACAGCTGGTGAAAAAGATGGACAAGGGTAGGGGTGGCAGGGGGGCGGTGAGGCAAAGTAGACAAATATGAGCCATGCAAAGGAAGTGAAATCTACAGGGTGCAGTGGATACGGTAAGGGCAAGAAAGGAAAGATGAGGCAAATACAACTTTTAGCTTATTGGTCTGTGATACCAAATGAATGGTAATGACATCAGTAATAGAGGCATAAATAGGTATGGATAAATGAACATGAGCTTTATTTAGGGAATATTATATTTGAGGTGCCTAATCCCAATGGTTTATCCAAAAATCATTATATACTCAGATCTAGAGTGCACATAAATCTTGGCTGGAGTTCTGCATTTCAGTAATCTATATTATAAACCTGCATGAGTTAATCTAAGAATGAAGCTATAAAGTGAAGTAAAAAGAGGACTTAGACTGAATCTTAAAGAACTCCAATATTTAACTGGATAGAAAGTGAGACTGAAAAAGCAGAGCCAGGACCCAAGGGAAGCAATGGTTTCAAAAAGGCAGGAAGCATCAAGAATTAGGACACTACACAGAGATCAGGTAAGATGCAGGCCACAAAAATGGACATTGTATTGAGTAATATTAAGTTACTGGTAAGAGATGATTCAGTGGAGTGATGGGAATCATAGCCAGAAAGGAGTACACTGAGAAAGAAGAACTGATTTAGAGAAGTTTGGTAGTGAGCAAAGGTGAGAGATTCAGGGAAACTGGTGACCATATGAAAGTGAAGGAGAACTTTTTTTTTTAAATGATGAAGACATGAGTATTTTTACATACTGATTGGGAGAGAGGGGGAACATGAATAAACAAGAGGAAAAAAAAGCCCAGTTAAAAATAAATAATACTCTGGAGGGTAGAATGGTGTAGAAGAAAGAAAACTGCCTCTATTATAAAACCATCAGCTACAGCCGGTGTAAATGAAGAGGTACACACGCAAATTACTTGAGTACATGAGCTCAACTTTTGACTAATTAATTATGATAATTAAATGTTCTTAATTTGGTTGTAACAGCCTATGAGTTATCTCATTTGTAATCTCAAATTACAGAATTTGAATTCTGTAATGTTTGAATTGTAACAGCCTATGAGTTACATCATTTCTATTTCTGAAGCAAATGATTTACATCCTATTCTGTGGGGGTTTTAAGTTACCGTATTTAAGATACTCTAAGACAATATGAGCAATTGCATTCAGAGAGGTGTGGATGTTACCTACATACTTCAACAGATCATAGGGAATCATTTGGCAGTGGACGACAGTAGGCCAATCAGTTAATTCATAAATATCAAGTGCAATATAGATTAGCCACCGTAGAACCCCAAGGACGTCAACAAATGTAAATACAGTATGCTTCCTGTAAGAGACTGACAGCTGACTAAGGAAATAAACAACCTCATTAAAAGATAGTTAGCATTGGGCAACTCCAAGCATGGGCTAGCATGTGGTGAAATGAACAGTCTCACATTATACTTCTGGAAGGAGAATAAATTGGTACAATAGCTTTAGAGGAAAACTTGGCAGATCTAGTAAGATTGAAAACAAGATATCCTACAGTGCAGTAATTCCAACTTTAGGTATATAATCTAGAGAAAACTTATACATTAAAATAAGAAAAAATGTAGAAGTATGTTCTATGCAACCAAAAATTGAAAACCACCTAAATTAGTATAATTAGAGAGATGGATAATGAAGCATTTACATTCATATGATCGGATACTATTAATTAAAAAGAATAAACTACGTAGTTTTATATTAAAAACAGTATATCCCTAACAGATATTAATGATAAAAGGCAAATTATAGAAAACACATTGTATGAGAGTATGTAAATTTAAAAAATACACACAATGCTACGTACTACTTATGGAAAAATGCATATGAAGTAAAAGTATAAAGGCATGCACTGAAAGAATATATGTCAAATTCATGGTGATGAATCACTCTGGGAATGGAAAGAGTGAAGTAGGAATGAAGTTCAGGAACAAAGAGGTCTTCAACTTTATTGGTGCATCCTTCATTTTTTTATAAGACCAACAAGTATATTATAAAAAGTAAATAAAAGTCAATTATGAGTATTTGGTACAATGGTGTTTTTCACATTATTCTCTGAAATTTTAAAGATTGTTTTAGTTTTCTCTGGAAACAGAAGTTAAAAAAATTAAGCAGGCAATACAATGCAGGTTGAAAACGATTTAAATTAGTATCATTAGAGAAATGGATAATGAAGCATTTACAATCATATGATAGGAAACTATTAGTTAAAATGAAAAAACTTGGTAGTTTTATATTAATAACTATTAATATGTTGTTAATAACAGTATTAATAAGAGGTATAGGTGAATAAGAGGTATAGGCCCACATCCACAAGAATGGAGGAGGGAAAAATCAGCATAGGCTGGATGAACCCTAAACAGACTGGTGAAAGTGAGAAGGTAATCCTGGACAGGGATACTGCTTTAAGGATCTCATGAGGTGGAGTTAGAACTCCTTGGACCCAGACTTAGTTTTGCTGCATGATCTGTGTGACCTTAAGAATTTGCTGCATATCTCTGAGCCTCAATTATCTCCATAATGGGTCGATTAAATGAGATAACGTGTACTAAATCACCCACCACATACCATGGCACATAGAAGACACTTATTATCTCTAAGGAAAATCCTAAAGAGGTGGCATCTTCTACCCAACCTCAATCCAAACCAACCATCAAGAAATTGCTGATATGTTTTCCATCGTTAACTTTTGGAAATTAAGATGACAGATATTTTCTGGGCTTGATACTTGTGTTACAAGTTTGTTCTTGCAATAACCTGGAGAGGTCTGTAAACAACAAGGTTATGTAATCTGATCCAGGTGGATAAAAGTTGGCTTGACCCACTGGGGTAGGTCACATGTGCTGGGTTGTGCGATCCTAACAGATTGACAGAGGTGAGGAAGTGTGTGTGTGTGTGTGTAGCACAGAAATACAATTCAATCTATTTTCTTGCATCTTTCACATTTACTATTTAAAGCCTAACCTTGCTGGTGGTCATGGAGTCCTGATTGTTTCTTGTAAAGTAATGGGAACATCCACCTGAATGATGACTAAGCATTCATATTCCACCCTAGGTGTGAGAATAGGCGATTTCTTCAATTGTCATTAATTTTTGTTTGTTCTTTTAATTTTCCCCAGTAAAAGTGACTCTCAACCCTTTAAGAATGTTCATATCTCAAAAGACCCTCTACATCTGCTAAGTCAGAAGCCCAAATAATTCCTACAGATGAAATTGCTCCAGCTCTGTGTATTCCAATAGTGTCAGGTAAACATTAATTGATTTTGATATTGAGCAACAGTATAATCTGGGACAAGTGTTTCTTCTTTAGTTCCACTCGTTTTGGACACATGACATCAGAGACTTGCCCTTCTCAACTTGCCATATGCTTATCATTTACATACAAAAGCTATCACTAACATAAGCTACAATTATAAGACTTAATTTTAAAAATTAAGAGTGTTTCTCTTATATTCCCCAGATGTCAGAATTGTTTTCTTTACCTTCCATTATCTCCTTTACACCATTTTAGAAAGATGATAGGAGAAAAGAAAACCCAAAGAGAAAGGAAATATTCCAAAGTAGTATTTTGATTGCCTGAGGCATTTTAAGAACTCTATGTATTTGGCACCTGGAGGAAAACAGAAATTGATAATGCCAAACAGTTCATCATCACGAGTTGTTTTGGAGGATTAATTGCAGATTTATGGTTCAGAGTGGTATACTGTTCTGGAAAACAACAACAAATGTTACCTTGACTACCAGAAATTGCAAGAGTCAAGTCACAGCAATCTGAGTCTTTCGTTGAAATATAATAACTAAAAAGAAATCAAGTTCTGGGTGATTTCAGGTAAGGGTGCATTAGTTGCCCCAGTGATATTTACAAATATGAATATTGCTCCCAGCAGATTACTTCACTTTATATTCTTGAGGTCCTCTCACCTTGACAATCTGCCAGCTTCCCCAGCTACAGCTCTCTGTTTCCCCTTCTGGAACACCTCAGCCTTTGTGCAAGCTGCATTTTTCTAGATGTAAGGTGAGTCAGCAAAAAATGTTCCTTTTCTTACCCATTGTAGATCATAATCTGCTTCGTAAAGTTTTAGGTTCCTCTTGTTCACAGCATTAAGGGAAAATGTTGTCTTCTTGGTTCTGTAATGTTTGAATTGTGTAAGATAATTTCTGCCTAGAGATAAAAAATTATCAAAATGGAGAATAACTTGCATTATCTCCTTGGGGGAGGATTCTTAAATTGTGGTTAATCTAGGAGCCTTGATTTGCTTTCTCACAGTTTGAACTAACGTTTCAAGGAGTTGGAAATTGTAGGCCTGTTTACAAAATTTTAGGCACTCCTTCCATTAAAAGATGGAGTCTGGCCCCACCCCCACTTAATTCTGGGCTGCCTCATGATTCTTAAAACTAGTGGGTGAGATCATACAAGGTAATGCAGCTTGCGCCTTGTTTGCAAGGACATTAACTTTTGTAACCCTGAAGCTTTATGTAACAGTCCAACTCCCCTGAAGCTACCATGCTCTAAAAAGGATCACATGAAAAGGATCACATATGCTCTTATCAGCAGGCTTTCCTGAGTCAAGTATTCCTAAGTCATCAAATCATAGGTTCCACACTGATGAATATAATGAATCAAGATGCCCACAGAAGATACTAAGCCCTAGCTGTGACCTCACTCCAAATGTTTATATTTCCCCAGATTAGGCCTCAGATATAGAGCAGAGTCAAACCACTCCTGCTGAGCCTTGTCTAAATTCCTGATCCATAGACTCCATGAGCATAATAAAGGGTTTTTTATGCTGCTAGTTTTTTGGATGGCATATGTAACATATGTACCTGATACAACTTCCCTTCTTTTATCTCTCTTCTTTTTTTTAAATTATACTTTAAGTTCTGGTGTACATGTGCACAACATGCAGGTTTGTTACATAGGCATACATGTGCCATGTTGGTTTGCTGCACCCATCAACTCGTCATTTACATTAGGTATTTCTCCTAATGCTATCCTTCCCCCAAACCCCCACCCACCAACAAGCCCAGGCGTGTGATGTTCCCCTCCCTGTGTCCATGTGTTCTCATTGTTCAAATCCTACTTATTAGTGAGAACATGTGGTGTTCGGTTTTCTGTCCCTGTGATAGTTTGCTGAGAATGATGGCTTCCAGCTTCATCCATGACCCTGCAAAGGACATGAACTCATCCTTTTTTATGGCTCCATAGTATTCCACAGTGTATATGTGCCACATTTTCTTTATCCAGTCTATTATTGATGGACATTTGGGTTGGTTCCAAGACATTGCTATTGTGAATAGTGCCACAATAAACATACGTGGGCATGTGTCTTTACAGTAGCATGATTTATAATCCTTTGGGTATATCCCCAGTAATGGGATGGCTGGGTCAAATGGTATTTCTAGTTCTAGATCCTTGAGGAATCACCACACTGTCTTCCACAATGGTCGAACTAATTCACACTCCCACCAACAGTGTAAAAGCATTCCTATTTCTCCACATCCTCTCCAGCGTTCCTGACTTTTAAATGATTGTCATTCTAACAGGCATGAGATGGTATCTCATGTGGTTTTGATTTGCATTTCTCTGATGGCCAGTGATGATGAGCATTTTTTCATATGCCTGTTGGCTGCATAAATGTCTTCTTTTGAGAAGTGTCTGTTCATATCCTTTGCCCACTTTTTGATGGGGTTGTTTTTTTCTGTAATTTTTTTAATTCTTTGTCAGATTCGGATCATTAGCCCTTGTTTGTCAGATGGGAGATGCAAAAATTTTTTTCCATTCTGAGTTGTGTTTTGAGATATTTTCTTTACTGTGCAGAACTCTTTGGTTTACATTACATCGCGCAAATTTGTCTATTTTCGGCTTTTGTTGTCATTGTTTGGGTTAGTCATGAGTTTTGGTGTATGTTAGATGGTATTGCCTAGGTTTCTTCTTAATTTTTTTTATGTTTTAAGGTCTTACATTTAAGTTCTTTAACCCCGAATCCTCAGTTATTTTAATAAAATGGGTAAGGAAAGGGAATCCAGTTTCCAGCCCTTTCTACAATATGCTTAGCCCCAGTTTTCCCGGCCCTACCCACAATTATTTTTAAAAACCGAGGGAATACCTTTCCCATTTCTTGTTTTTTTTTTCAGTTTTGTCCCAAAGATCAGATGGTTGTAGATGAGTGTGGTGTTATTTCTGAGGCCTTTGTTCTGTTCCCCTTCTGGTCTAATATGTCTGTTTTGGGTAACCAGTATCATGCTGGTTTTCGGTTACTGTAGGGCCTTATAGTATACAATTTTTTTTTTTTTTTTTTCTTTTTTTTTTTTTTTTTTTTTTTTTTTTTTTTTCTTGAAGTCGGTAGTGTGATGCCTAAAACAGCCTTTGTTCTTTTTCCTTAGGATTGTCTTCGGCTATGGGCTAGGCTCTTTTGGTTCGCATATGAAATTAAGCCAGTTTTTCCAATTCCTGCTGAAGAAGTCATTGGTAGGACATTGATGGGGCCCCCCAATGGCATTGAATCTATAAATAATCGAATTTGGGCAATATGGCCAATTTTCACAATAATTGATCTTCTCTATCCCTAAGGCCATGGAATGTTCTCCATTTGTTTGTGTCCTCTTTTATTTTGTTGAGCAGTGGTTTGTAGTTCTCCTTGAAGAGGTCCTTCACATCCCTTGTAAGGTTGGATTCCTAGGTATTTTATTGCTCTCTTTGTTGCAATGTGAATAGGAAGTTCCCATCATGAATTTGGTTCTCCTGTTTGGTCCCCCGTTTTGGTGTATCAGGAATGAATTGATGATTTTTGCACATTGATTTTGTATCCTGAGACTTTGCTGAAGTTGCTTATCGGCTTAAGGAGATTTTGGGCTGAGATGATGGGGTTTTCTAAATATACAATTATGTGGGGTTTTCTAAATATACAATTATATTTCTAAATATACAATTATATCATCAGCAAACAAAGATAATTTGGTTTCCTCTTTTCCTAATTGAATACCCTTTATTTCTTTCTCTTGCCTGATTGCCCTGGCCAGAACTTCCACTACTACATTCTATAGGAGTGGTGAGAGAGGGCATCCTTGTCTTGTGCTGGTTTTCAAAGGGAATGCTTCCAGTTTTTGCTCATTCAGTATGATATTGACTGTGGATTTGTCATAAATAGCTCTTATTATTTTGTGATACGTTCCATCAATACATAGTTTATTGAGGGTTTTTAGCACGAAGGACTGTTGAATTTTGCCAAAGGCCTTTTCTACATCAATTGAGATAATCATGTGGTTTTTGTCATTGGTTGTGTTTATGTGATGGATTACGTTTATTGATTTGCATATGTTGAACCAGCCTTGCATCCCAGGGATGAAGCCGACTTGACTGTGGTGGACAAGCTTTTCGATGTGATGCTGGATTCTGTTTGCCAGTATTTTATTGAGGATTTTTGCATCGACGTTCATCAGGGATATTGGCTTAAAATTCTTTTTTTGTTGTGTCTCTGCCAGGCTTTGGTATCAGGATGATGCTGGCCTCAAAAATAAGTTAGGGAGGATTCCCTCTTTTTCTTCTGTTTGGAATAGTTTCAGAAGGAATGGTACCAGCTCCTCTTTGTACCTCTGCTAGAATTTGGCTGTGAATTCTTCTGGTCCTGGACTTTTGTTGGTTGTTAGGCTATTAATTATTGCCTCAATTTCAGAACTTGTTATGGTTCTATTCAGAGATTTGCTTCTTCCTGGTTTAGTCTTGGGAGTGTGTATGTGTCCAGGAATTTAACCATTTCTTCTAGATTTTCTAATTTATTTCTGTAGAGGTGTTTATAGTATTCTCTGATGGTAGTTTGTATTTTTGTGGGATTGGTGGTGATATCCCTTTTATCACTTTTTGTTGCGTGTATTTGATTCATCTCTCTTTTATTCTTTATTAGTCTTGCTAGCGGTCTATCAATTTTGTTGATCTTTTCAAAAAACCAGCTCCTGGATTCACTGATTTTTTTGTAGGGTTTTTGTATTTCTGTCTCCTTCAGTTCTACTCTGATCTTAGTTATTTCTTGTCTTCTGCTAGCTTTGAATTTGTTTGCTCTTGCTTCTCTAGTTCTTTTAATTGTGATATTAGGGTATTGATTTTAGATCAATATAATATGTTTGTGGTGTTCTCTATTTTACCTGAATTTGAATGGAGGCCTGCCTTGCTAGGTTGGGGAAATTCTCGTGGATAATATCCTGAAGAGTGTTTTCCAACTTGGTTTCATTCTCCCTGTCACTTTTAGGTACACCAATAAAACATAGATTTGGTCTTTTCACATAGTCCCATATTTCTTGGAGGCTTTGTTTTCTTATTTTCACTCTTTTTCTCTAATTTTTTCTTATTGCTTTATTTCATTAATTTGATCTTCAATCTCTGATGGCCTTTCTTCCACTTGATTGAATCTGCTTTTGAAGCTTGTGTATGCTTCATGAAGTTCATGTACTGTGTTTTTCAGCTCCATCAGGTCATTTATTTTCTTCTCTACACTGGTTACTCTAGTTAGTCATTCCCTAACCTTTTTTTAAGGTTTTCAGCTTCCTTGCAATGGGTTAGAACATGCTCCTTTAGCTCGGAGAAGTTTGTTATTACCCACTTTCTGAAGTCTACTTCTGTCAACTCATCAAACTCACCCTACGTTCAGTTTTGTTCTCTTGCTGGTGAGGAGTTGTGATCCTTTCGATGAGATGAGTCATTCTGGTTTTTGGAATTTTCAGCTCTGGTTTCTGCTCTGGTTTCTCCCTATATTTGTGGTTTTATTTACCTTTGGTCTTTGCTGTTGGTGAACTACAGATGGGGTTCTTGTGTGGATGCCCTTTTTGTTAATGTTGTTGTTGATGCTATTCCTTTCTGTTTATTAATTTTCCTTCTAATAGGCTCCTCAGCTGCAAGTCTTTTGGAGTTTTCTGGAGGTCCATTCCAGACCCTGTTTGCCCGAGTATCACCAATGGAGGCTGCAGAACAGCAAATATTGCTGCCTGCTCTTTCTTCTGGAAGATTGTTCCCAGAGGGGCACCCACCTAGTATCAGCCAGAGCTCTTCTGTATGAGGTGTCTGTTGGCCCCTACTGGGTGGTGTCTCCCAGCCAGGCTACACAGGGGTCAGGGACCTACTTGAGGAGGCAGTCTGTCTGTTACCAGAGCTTGAACGCTGTGCTGGGAGAACCACTGCTCTGTTTAGAGCTGTCAGGCAGGGACGTTTAAGTCTGCAGAAGCTGTGCCCACAGCTGCCCCTTTCCCTAGGTGCTCCATCCCAGGGAGATGGGGGTTTTAATCTATAAGTCCCTGATTGGGGCTGCTGCCTTTTGTTCAAATATGCCCTGCCCACAGAGGTGGAATCTAGAGAAGCGGTCAGCCTTGCTGAGTTGTGGTGGGCTCTGCCCAGTTCGAGCTTGCTGGCAGCTTTGTTTACACTGTGGGCATAAAACTGCCTACCCAAGTCTCAGCAATAGCGGACGCCCCTCCAGTGTCCCAGGCCAATTTCAGACTGCTGTGCTAGAAGCGACAATTTCGAACCAATGGATCTTAGCTTGCGGGACTCTGTGGGCATGGGACCTGCCAAGCCAGGCACCGGAGGGAATCTACTGGTCTGCCACTTGCAAAGACCATGGGAAAAGTGTAGAATTTGGGCAGAGTGTACTGTTCCTCCTGGTACAGTCTCTCCTGATTTCCCTTGGCTTGTAAAGGGAAATCTCCCGGCCCCTTGCACTTCCTGGGTGAGGCGACACCCCACTCTGCCTCAGCTCGCCCTCCATGGGCTGCACCCACTGTCCAATCAGTCTCAATGAGATGAACCAAGTACCTCAGTTGGAAATGCAGAAATCATCCATCTTCTGCATTGATCTCACTGGGAGCTGCAGACTGAAGCTGTTCCTATTTGGCAATCTTGGAAGAGTTCCCTTTTATTTCTCTTTTTATGACTGTGATAGAGCCCTCCTGTATCAGGAAGTCTCTAGTGTATACTGAAGAACTGCTATCAATAATGAAGTCCAGAACCAGTTGAAACAGCGTCAAAATCCTCTGCTAGACTGACACATGTAGCAGCGTCACATATAAGAAGTCAGATAAAACGCAATGGTATTAATTGCCGAGAGATAATAATGTTCTTAAGAATATCAGAAATAGAAATAAAAATAAATGCACACACAGAGACACACACACAAGCTCACACAGGTTTGCTCAAGTACATGGATAGATAGGAAGTACTAGAAAATTATACATTATAATATGAACAGTCATTTCCCCTGGATGGTGAAATGATGGGTTATTTTTAGTGCTTTTAAGCTCATTTGTATTTTTAAAATTTTTCTATTAATGTGCATGTATTACTATTATACTCTTTTGCATAACCATCTCTTTAACTCATTCAAATTAATATGGACACAAATTCTTGCCCTCTCCTCATGACGAATCCTTGCCCTCTCCTCAATTTTCTCTGGTTGCCAACCCCCATCTGTCAGCCTTCATCTGTCTACACTGAGCTGAATGAATTAAACTAGAGCATCACTGTAGTGTCAAAGGCCACGACTATGTTGTACCTTTATAGTGGATTCTTCTGACTGAGCCAGACTCTGGCACATACCTGTAGACCTCTTATTTTGTGACTTGCTGTATATCTCTCCTTACTGGTCTGAATAGAACTCAAGGATGCTAAGACATGGCCTGCCTACTTATAATTTGAAACCTGGCACCTGTGGGTGTAGTTTGAAACCACTCTGTCCATGGAGTCTCTTAGCATTGAGACTCGGTGTTGTCCTGTGGTTTTAAGGTACAGGTAAATCTGACTTTGTTGTGAGTTAATTTAAGTATCAGTCAGACCCTTTGTTATAACCTAGACTCCAGGCTCTGATCCATTCTAGTTTGCCCCATTTGGTTTTTTACATCTTCTCATTCACCAAGTCAGACATGGAATGATTCTCATTCATGCATAGGGAGTCACTGTGGTCATACAATTTATAGAAAACCAGAATTTTTTTTTCTAAAACATTGCTACCATTGGGTAATTAGCAGTCCCCAAATTATTTCCTTAATTGTTCATAACTTCATATTAAATATTTTGTTATGTTTGTTTGCTTTATTTTAAAAGGAATATATTAAGTTTTATTATTCTGCTGAAACATTTCTTAGAAAACTAATTGATTATGTAACTAACACTGTTTTTATTAAAATTCCAAGATTCACTTTTCATTTGGAAAGAAGGGATATGGTAAGCACACAAGCTCTAGGCAGTTGGAAGTGGAATTGGGAGGAAAAGCTATTGAGAGAACAGAAATACACAGAGAGGGCAAAGAAAACAGGAGTCCAACTTTGCCTGCTCACCACATTGCCTCCCTTACTCTATTCATATATTGGAATTCTGTTACAGTTCTATAGACTGTCTTAGGGCAGAGGGACTATCTCCTAACATAAAAATTCACAGACTAATTTGGATAAACTAGCATTTTCATAGTTCCAAATCAAGAAAGGACCAAAGTACTTCAGAATTGTTTTTTTTTTTTTTTCTTCTGTTGCTATAAAGGAGGAAACTCTTGGCTGCCAACAGAGATTGACAGACCAAGCAAAGAACAGAATGTTTTCATTTGAACATTCTAAGCTAATGTTGCTCTCCAAGCCTGTTCATGGAGAACTGTCTAGACTAATGGTCTCTAAGCAGATGCCACTAAAGAACATACAAATATAAAATAGTTATTGTCTTCAAGAAGGTAAAAAGTTACATATACAAGTTAAAACAGACTATATGCTGATGCTTACTACTTTAAAAATGACAAAATTTAGGTGTTAGAAATAATCTTATATAACCATAAAAACCTGTCCTAGTTGCTAATGTTTGTAAGAATATCCGCTCTGGACACAGCAGGGAAATGAATCCCACAGGGGCGCCGTCATTCCACATGACAGCAGGGAAATGATAGCTGGGTCTGTCCTGAAAGGACCCAGGACAACAATGCATAAGGAAAAATCATCCTGTAATTTATAATCAGCCAGTAAATGATATGTTCCTCATGTTTGACTCCAAATTCTATTAATTCTAGTCATGTGATGTTTGATGCCATTTTATCAGTTTGAGTTTTGAAGGCTGATCATTAGAAGTACATTCTCTCATTATGACCATAAATTATGCATATTTATAACATTTTCCAGAATTCGAGCCTCAAAGATTCAGTAAATTAAATCAGAAAACATTTTTATGGACTTGTACTCTAAAAATTAAAGGGTTTTCCTTAAATGTAAATATCAACTAATACAATATGCTTGATGCTACGATACACTATTTACTAGCGATTTACAGCAGAGTCTGAAAAATGTATTTTATTAGGGGTCACAGAGTAGATATCCTAGGCATTGCAGGTCATACAGACTCTGCCACAAGTTACTCTCCTATTGTAGCTCAAAAGCAACTAAAGGGAATTCATAAACAAATGGAGATAGCTGTGTTCTAATAGAACTTTATTTACGATAACAGGTGGTAAGCTAAATTGGTGCTGGGCCATAGATTTTCAACACCAGATTTAAAGAAATACAGCCTCTAGGAACCTCACCATAATGAAATGTTGTCCTTTCTTTGGCCTTTTGTTTTATCTCTCGTGCATCGTCCTTGAGTTTAAGTCTTTTCACAGGAACTATTTTAATAAAAGGATGCTGGTGGAAAGCCAGCTGAGTGAGGAATCAGAGCCTACTATTTTAATAAAAGCACTGGCCCATGTCAAGTATATGACTATGGGAAGTCACATAACCTCTCTAAGCTTCAGTTTTTTCATCTGTCACAAGGCAACTGCTTTTCCTATTTCCAGAGCTAGTGTAAGATTCCAATGAGGAAAAACTATGTGAAGGCACATTGTAAACCATAAAGTATAAAGTAAACCAAAACTAACACCCATTTGTAACACGATGCCTTACATGACAATAATTCATTAGACAGGATACATTAAAGGGGAGATAGTCCTTATAACTGCTTAATGCTAATCCCTTACAAGACCTTGGGAATATTCTACAGTCAGTGTTTACATCAATTACCTTCCATAGTCCAGAGCAGGAACGAGACATGTGCCATGAAAACAATTATTCCTTGTTTTTGTAGCGTCGTTTCCCTCTGACTATTCATTCACTAGGAGAGATTTTTTTTTCCTTCCACCTGAGTAGTTCACAAAACTTTAGTTCCTTGTCTTTCAAAGCTAATCTTTTGTAATTCAGATTTTCATAGAAAGTGTAAATTTACCTGTTAACCATTTCCTTAGTAGTTCTGGCTCACAATCACAAGGCACTTGTCTAGAATGCATCTTGTAAAACACATTCACATGGAAAGCATGTTCTTCTTAAGAGAATGATCCGTCTTTCTTCACTGGTATCTTTCCATGAGATTTCCTGAAGAGACTCCTTCCAATGTCTTACATCTCATTTTAATTTTCTGTAAGGTTGAGCATTTTTTATAGAAATTTTAATGACTCTTAAGTTCAGATCTTAAATTGCTGATGTGCATTTTTCTCCAGAAAGCCAAAGTTTTCTCAGAAGGGTGAATCCACAGTTCCTTGTACTTTCAATGGATACTCTGCTACCATAGTCTATATCTCTATTATCAATACCTTAGATTCATGAAATTGTTAAGTTTTATAAATTAAATTAAAAATAATATTACTCTACTTTTGATTAAACACAAGACTTTCTATTTTGATATCAAACCATTTGATAACGTTTTAAACCAGGTTTTACAGAACTTTGAACAGAAGAGGCTATGTATAATTAACTAACCCTTCATTTTTATTTTCAGATATTGACACAAGAGACCCTTCATGGATTAGAACTTTTCAGCTGGATTAAAAGTCATGGCAACACCGGGAAACATAGACTTATGAGATTATGACATTTATATTTTACTGAAATCAAAAAAGGGAAAAATGAAGGTAGAAGTGTAGTAAGGACATAAAACTGTCAAAGAAAAGAATAATAAAATGGAGGTTAAACTGAAAAAAAAAAAAAAGCTTATACAAAGTGCTTACATCACCCAGTGAGTGAAAATTGTACAAATGAAAGAAGAGGCAGAATATATCTTTAAAAAGAAATAAAAGAAATGAAGGGGAAAAAAAGCATTCACCTTCATGCATCTTAATTAGTACTCTGAAAACTGGGCCAAAATTATAGGGGTGAAAGAGTTTTAAACTTTTTAAAGCAGTTCTCAAGAAGGAAAACAAAGTGGCTTAAATAGAAATAATGTAAGCACATCTAAGAGAGCTATCTAAACTCTATAAGAATGCTGACTTCTATTTTGTGACTCCAATTAGGCTCAGAAGAATGTGGATATGAACTAGCTAAAAGTGAAGGAAACAACTTAAAACAGATCTAAAGATAGACCATCTTTTGGAAAAAGGGAAAGGAAATCATCTATATACTAAAGAAATCACCACCTTGAATTTGATGAAGCAGCATTTGGGGCAATTCATAGAAGTTTGTGTTTTATGTAGCAGATGATGAACTTTCAGACTCATACTCGAAAGCTAGTATTAAGTGAATATTTAAATACATTCATAAAAGGGTTAAAACTTTCACAAAGATAGAACTACAATAGGTTATAAGGGGAACAGGGATATTTTAGGCTTAAATAACTTAGAGATTGGCAAATACTGTAGCAAACAATCCTGCTCCTTGAGTATATGACACTTGGTCCTGTTTCAGATGCTGAATGCAAGGCTGTAAAGAGAGTGCAGCATTTATTAGAGGTTGATGTTCTGATGGTTTCAACAAGACCACAGTACATTTCAACAGGACTGTGTATTGGTTGTACAATGTACACAATACATTCAACATGTATTGTATGTATTGTACAATGTAGCAATACATTCAACATGTATTGTATGTATTGTACAATGTACCAATACATTCAACATGTATTGTATGTATTGTACAATGTACCAATACATTCAACAATGTATTGGTTGAAGTAGAAACAATACCAGAAATGAAGTGTATTATCAAGTATGACGATGTTATTTATAGACATAATGAGTTTCACTTACTAAATTCGGAGTACTTGGTTAGAATTCAAGTGGCCACTTATCCTGTACACAAACATGTACCCTTCAGCTTGCAGTTGATCAAACTGGAAAGGATCTCTGCAACTGTGAAGCAGAGCCCTGTCACTTAACAAAGATGAGTGAAGCGTTTTATTGTTTGTTTGTTTCTAGATTAATGCTTTTTAGATAATCTCTTGTAGGGTTATCACTATCAGCATCTGGCTAAAGCATAAGGCAGAAATCTTACTACTGGAATTGTGCTGAGGGTTCCTGAGCAAGTCACCTCATGTCCCAGGCCTCCGTTTCCTACTTATCAACAAGTGTACCAAATGAGGGCAAAGTAGGTGTTTGTTTTAATTTTTACCCTCTTATTTCAGAGATTTGTTTTCAGATTCCCTCCAAAAGACTGGTCACAATCTGTTTACACCAGATTTGAACATGTGTGGACACCCGCATGCATGTGTCTATTGTGAGTCAACAAAGGAATTCCTTAAATCTCTACTAGCTTTCATATTCTCTTGTATTTCTAGTCTCTCTTCCAAAAAAACTTGCTAGATGCAAAAGGATAGATATGGATATGGACGTGGACACAGGCCTAGGTATAGACAGATACACTTATGTAAACACACACGTATATACTTGCGGGTACTGTTAGGTACTGGGGATCCAAAGGTGGCTAACAAAAACAGCCCTTACTCACTGAACATATCCTGCAGGTCAAACATTGCTTTAAGCCCTTTGCACTGTGTTCAGTACAGTGCCTAACGTATAAGCATTCAATAAATGTGCTGAATGAATGCTGAATCCTTGAAATTCATCAAAATGTCTTTCTTCCTTCATACCTCTCATATGAATTGTCAGTTAAGGTTTTTAATTTCTGGGTCGGGGGTAGTTAAGAGCACGAATATCTATATGTGGTTAGTTATCTTTAATGTATAATTAAACTATAAATGTAACTACTTTCAAAACTTAGTTTTTCTTTAGCCTCTAGCATCAGCTTTAAAATCTTACTTTATTAAAAAATATATAGTAGTTTTATATAAGAGCAAAAGCTTTTTTTAAATTAATGATCAATTTATGAATGTAAAGGATTAAGATCATAGGAGATCTTGTTTGGGAACCATTAAAACCATTTACACACTTAGTTGGACAGATTCCTTAAACATGTCGAATCACACAGATTAATATATCCAATTCTTTCAAACACTTCAAGTATCTGAAAAAAAACCCACAACTTTCATAAGTAAAATTTAAGCATTTAAAAACCTTAGATAAATCTCATATATCAAACTTATAAATGTAATAAGTCATTATCCTAATTATCAAAGAAACATCTGCACAAAGCATAAACAAAGCGTCACCATAATTATAAAATTTACAAAAAACACGCTGTGCAAATACAATATTTTTTAAAATATTGAGGCTTCATTCATCTTATAATCATTGCCCTATTGAAATTCAAGCCTTTATGGGGTAAAATATTTACCAGCCAAAGAGAAACTTTATTGCCAGAGTGCTATATCAAATGAGGTTACAACTTCAGTTATTGGCCAGATATTTTTAGACCAAGACCCCCAAAATATGGCTGTTTTCGAAAAGGCCTTTGTGTGAGCCACAGTTCATTGACCTGAACTAGTTCTTGGTGTAATGGGACTTTTTCAGTCTTTGTCTTTTATTTTGGTGGAGGGCAACATAATGCATTTTATGTTTCTATATTTAGTTTTAAAATCATCAACTTTCGTAGAAAATGTATGGGACATTTCTTCACAAATTTTGGTTGCCACATCATTTAGATTGATGAAATTCTGTGTGTGTGCACACATACAAGCAATCCAATCTAAATGATAAAGTTTCTTTACTCCACAATGGGATCCTCTACCCTGTTAATATTTCATTTTTTGTCTCTCACATTGATTTACATATTGACTAAAGCAAAAAAATGAAAAGAGGTCCCTCCGAGGAAATGAAGTCGACAAAAGGAAGATGACTAAGTACACTAGAATCATAGGTAACTGGTGCACATTGTTTCAAAAAGGGCTATTCAAACATGTCAGATATGAAAAGTGAGTTTGGGTTGGGGATTGTATTAAGATGGTAACTTATAGTTGTATAGTTTTCTATTGCCATTGTAATAAATTATCACAAACTTAGTGGTTTGAAATAACTAAAATGTGTTATCTTACAATTTTGGAAGTCCAATATCCAACACAGGTGTCACTGGGCTAAAATCAAAGAGCTGGCAGCACTGCCTTTCTTTCTAAAGGTTCTAGGAGGGAACCCATTTTCTTGCCTTTTCCAACTTCTAGAGGCTGTCTGTACTTCTTGTCTGGTGGCCCTGTTCCATCCTCAAAGCCAGTCTTTCTCACAATATTCTCTCTCTGGTTCTACCCCTTCTGCCTTTCTCCTCCTCATTTAAGAACACTGGTGATTACAGTGGGCTCACCAGGTAATCCATAGTAATCTCACTTGTTTGAATTTAATTAAGGTTAGCAACCTTTATTCTATCTGCAATCTGAATCCCTTCTTGCCGTGTAATATAGCTCATTACAAGTTCTGGGGATTAGGAATACTCAAAGACATCTTTAGGAGATCATTATTCTGCCTACTAAAATGGTACTGGCTAGACTATAAGGCAACCTAAAATTTGCCTTTTACTAAGAAGCTAATTACTTCTCCACAGAGATGACTGTTAGAGACAAAAACAAAAAACAAAACAAAAAAAAACCCAAATTTAAAAAGATAAAAGTTATATTTCATTGTTAGCACTTTAAGCCCCTTATTTGATGGAAGCTAGGTTATACGGGAAACTGAGAACAAAATCAGACTGAGGTTTTTTCTGCCTCCTTACAACTAAAGCCCTGACCCCACCTAAAATATCATTGCTCCAATTTAAAGAAAGGCAGTGTACAGACAGAATGTGTAGCAAGAATGAATGGAAGGGAGAAAGCTAGAAGGAAAGCATATTCACCTGGCCCTGGTTTATTCATATCTCTTCTACAAGACTTCATTTTCAGAAATTATAGTTCAATTACTGTCTACAGGAACACCCCCTACTTTGGGAATAAAATGAGTGAGGGATTATAGATGCTTAAACTTCATTTAGCCAAAAAGCTTATACTAGAAGATAACACCCACAACCGAAAGGTACATGTAAATCACCAAAGACATAATCTTAGAAGTTATTTTAGTTCATTGTAAGTATAACAGGATGAGCCACTGTTTGAGCTAAAACCAGGGAGCAAGCTGAAAATGAATCTGAAGAACAATATTCAAGAATTTGTTACCAATACTTAGTTTGAAGGGTTCAACCTGTTAAAACACACACTTAATTCTTCCCAGAAAGAGAGATCAAAGTTGGCAATGATACAAATTCATGTTCTATCTCTGTATCTGTGGTGTAGGTTGAGAAAGAACCTATTTCATTTTGCACATACCTGGTTTTGTGCAATTATTTTTGCAGGTATTATGATAGTTTCATTTCTATTTTGTTTACTTTAAAAACAAATCTATATGCTGCAGAGCACTTTTTTTAGAGTAAGAGGAACAGCTCATCAAATCAGAAATAATTGCCATTTATCTAACAGAATGGCGGTGATATGTACAGATAGCTGATATTCTAAGACTATAGAATAGAAAGTTTCTAATCAGTCTCTCAACAAGCAAAAGACTGGATCTAAAGCAATGAACATCTCTCAATAAAACTTTCCAAAATTAAATAAAGCTGTCACCCATATAAGGAAAATGAAGACCACTGGGATATCCTTTAACAAATTGCTTTTCTCTCTCCCTCTCTCTCTCTCTCTCTCTCTCTCTCTCTCTCTCACACACACACACACACACACACACACACACACAGCTTCCCATTTTCTTGGAAGAAGATTCATTTGTCTCATATTGGGAGGCACTTTGCACTTTGTGCTTTTTGGTTCATCACAACACCAACTATATTAATGACCAAAAGCTGAGCTAC